ATATTACATAGAGGTGAAAACATGTTTCAATCTATATATCCTACCCTGATAAAACAATTAATTTTATCAACAAAAAAAAAATAACTAAATTACACGAAGACTTTTACGAAAGCTAAGTGTTAATCATATTGACTTGTTTATAAATTTATTATAGGATATATTTATGTCTTATTTGAAAACTTTATTAAAGAAATAAGCTTTTACATAAGTTATCATCGGTATCAGTTATTAGACCTTAAAAATAAACTCATATTATATGAATATGTTAGACTCTTAAAAACCCTACTTAACCTAATTTTGCTTTTAAGTATAGTAGTTTTAATTTCCATAGTTTATAATTTGTTTCACATGCATAAAGTTTTTCACTTTGTTTCATTAATCCATAAAACGGGAGAATTAAACTTGTCTATAAGTTTTAATAAGAGTATTTTTTTATTATAAAAAAACTAACAAATAAAGTTAGAATTATGTTTATTTTAAATTAGTTTTATTTAACCTTACTTATTTTTATCCCTAATTATATGCATAAAGATTGTACATATTTTTTCCAACCATGAGATAAGAAGTGTGCACAAAGATAGAAAAAAATTGTTATCGAGAAGTATTATAAAAATATTGTGAAATATTATAAAATTTAATTATGTTTCGTTGATGTAAAATAATAATTATATCTTCTCTAATTAAAAATTATTTTTAAAATAACTTTTGAGTTGATAATTTTTAAAGTAAATAAATTGAGGTTAAATTATACTTTAGGGTCTTCTATTTTTATCATTAATTCCTCTCATTAAATTCACATCTATTAATTATTAAAATAGAGATATTTAATTATTTTAATTTTAAAAATATAAAATTTTAGTCTCCTTGTTAAATTCACATCTATTAATTATTAAATTTTAATATTTACTTATGCTTAAATAAAATAACATTTAGTGACATGATATTTGAATATGCAAAATTATATATATATATATATATATAAGCTTTATTAATAAAATAAATATCAATCACTCATTAAAATAAATTTCAATGAAAATTTTTTTAAAATTATTTTTTTAATTTTTATTTATGCACATCACGTCATTAAATATTATATCATTTAAGTAGTAAAATGCATTGAACAATGTTTAAATTTAGTGATTAACAAATATCAAATTAGAACAAAAATTTTATATTTTTAAAAATAAAAAACTAAATATCTCTATTTAAAATATAAAAAATAAAATTATATACCAATAAAAATAGAGAGATTAAAAATTTATTTAATCATAAATTATTTAAATATGATAATATATGATTGCGTTATTATTATTTACTTAATACCCTTGAATCGGAATATTCCTTGCCAAGTTGCACTCTTTGAATATTTGTCGGTTGGTGAACTAGAAGTCTAGAAGTTCGTTAACAATCCCATTTGTTATACTAAAAAATAAATTATATATTAATTATTACTATTTTTTAATTAATAAAAATTATAATAACAACAACGAAATTTGATCGTCATATATACTACTCCAACCTATTTAGTTTATCTTTTTTATATATAAATTTTAATTGAAAAGTTAAATTCGTAATATAAATATTGTACTGGTGATATATATATATATATATATATATAGAGGAGGGTTCAAATGACACCGTGTAACTTTTATTAAGTGTTACACCGCTCAATAACTTTATATTAAATGTGAATTTTGTAAATCCAACCGTTAGATGGAAAGTTCATATATCTTAGATCATATATACAAAATTTTATATTAATCCAAGATAATTAGATACTTTATTTTTATAAAAAAAAATTGACGTAATATATTCATTTCAAAATATACTAAAATATAAACACTTTGATTATCTTCAAGTTGTTGTTCAATTTTAACAAAATTTGATATATACGTATGAAGTGATATGAACTTTTAATCTAACGGTTGAATTTACAAAATTTACAATTAATATAAAGTTATAATTGAGCGGTGTAATATTTAGTAAAAGTTACATCGGTGTAATTATAACCTCCAAAAACAATATTTTTTATCGGGTTTTTCGGGTTCGGTTCGGGTGTCGGTTTAATACTCACCCCTAAAAATGCTGGTAAAAACCCTTATAATGATCGAAAAAAGTGTATATCTTTTTGTGACATTTTTTACTTTCTAGTTGATATGGGACTTGTAAGATGAATACAAATAAATAATTATTTTATCTCTAGTTGATGTGAGACTTTAAGATGAAAGTTACCTTCTAATTATATATATATATATATATATATATATATATATATATATAATTTTTTTATAGTAACAAAATGTTTAATACCATAAATGTATAATATTTATACTAATAATTATATATTGAAGTAGACAACATAATAATAAACTTTTAGTATATGGATTTTTTTTATGGTGTTACATATAATAAAAATCAAGATTTTTTAAAATGAATTTCCTTAATTTTCTCTTTATTTATCACGTTTCCTCCTGCTATGACAATTATAGTGTTACTATTTAAATGAATTTCCTTAATTTTCTCTATATTGTCATGAATTTCCTTAAAAGACATAAGGAGGTTTTGTGATTAGTGATAAAAAAAAATTAAGAAAGTGTTATTCGCTCACTTTTTTTTTATTTTTAATTTTGCAAGAATCAACTACCTTTTTTTTATCATAAAATAATTTTTCACTTGGACACTCAGATTAGCAGAGAAATAAAAATACGAAAAAAATTGTTTTCATTATTTTTAAACGGGAAATAAAAAAAAATGTATGCCTATTTATGAAAATAAACAATATTTTCTTAAATCAAACAAGTCCCTTGCTATTTTTTTCCTTCGGGCTTTTCAAGATACAAGCATCCTTGTCTTTCTTTCTTTTTGTTTTGAAAATGATGCATGTGCCTTTGGCCTATATATTTATTTTCTTAATCCAATTTTGATATCGTGATACTTCCCATGTGGAAAGGGAACTATTTCAACTAGTTGGTGTTTTTAGCCCTTGTCTTTGTCGACAAGTACTCAAGTTATTCATTGAGGAAGACAAGGCATCAAAAAGGAGCTATAGCCAATGGATCAATAAACTTATATATTTTTAAATGCTTAGTTGCGATAATTTACGTATATATATATATATATAGATTGCTACTCTTATTTATTTTTTAGTTGAAATATTTTAGCAACTTATAACTAAAATTTCTGAATCACAATCTTTTATTTAAATTAATTTATTTGAAGTTTATTTTAATAATTGAAATTAAAAAAATCAAACTGCTTTTACTATCACTTTGAACAAAAAAGTAATTACACTCTTCTCTCTCCTAAAAAAAAAACAAATATTAATTTTATTCACTCTCCTCTCTCTCTCTCTCGTCAACGGCAGGGCACTAGAGTCCATACATGTCATCACATCTACACGCTTAACCTTCTTCTAATTGCTCAATTTACCCAATTAAAAGCACACTTGAAGACCTAATGTTGAGTATCTTATTTGCCTTGTCATTGTCTCTAATAAGTACAAAATTAATCAAATTAGAAACCCTTTTTTTTTGTTTACACAAATCAATATTAGAAAGTTAAAACCAAAGTTATTGAATGTAAATTGTAGGGTTGGAAATAGATAAACAAGGTTAAAATTATATGTACTTCGATCTCCAACCATCATATTGATCTAGAAAATTGCTATAATTAATTGTGAAGCTCATTCAACCGATTACTATTATTTTAGAAGCTAAGTTATATGTTAGTTTACAGGACAACTTAAAGCCATTATTTTAACACAAGTAGTCTGGTTTGTAGTTGTTGTCAAACAAAATTGGGTATATATTCCCATGGTTCTTTTCGTTTTTTAGTCAATTCATGGATATTATTAAAGTGCACAAATGGTTTTGGATTCATGCTTTTGCAAGAAATCAAGTCCTTTCGGAATTTCTGTCTCAAACTTTTCGCTTGTATTTATATTTCCACTGAATTATAATTTAGATCTCAATAATATTTAATTTGTAATTTTAATTTTTTAATTCTTTAATTTTGTAATTTTAGTATCTTAAATTTACAAAAAGTCACTCTTTTAACTACACTGTTAGATAGATGGAAATCACTTGTCTTACTTTGTGTCCCACCAATAAAAATGTGTCACATTATTTAAAAACACATATGACTTTTATGTGATTCTTTTTTATTATGGATTCCAGTTTCATATCATCTTTTGTCCTCTCCTATTTTCTCAACTACCATTTCCATTTAGTGCCTTGCCTCTCATCCTCGAATGGATCAGAGAAGTGAGAGCAAAAAATGGACTTCGTCGTCCGAATCTCCCGATATATCAGAAACCCTGCATTTAAAACCGAAGAAAGTGTTGTGGTTTATGATGGACAACGCACTACACAATTTTTGTGGTACATTTTTATTGGTTGGACAAAAAGTGTGATAAACAGTGTAAAATAAGTGACTTCTCTCCTTAATCTTCATCGATCGATTGATTATTAAAATTGTAATGTTATACATGATTTGTTATTTATAAATATTGTATGACAAATAATATTTAATATATTTTGGTTAATTTATACTTGTACTATTATTTCATAAAAGTAATAAAATTAATGTTTTAAATATTGAATTAATTATCAAATTGATGAAGATACTAAATCAGCGGATCAAAAGTCGAATTGATGACTCTGTATAATTTTTTTAAAAAATATTTATGTCATATATTTTATATCTATAAATTTCAATAAAATTTAAACAATATATAATTTTAAATTAAAAATATATATTATATAAACTATTTAAGTCAATTATATAATAATATATTATGTTAGTTTAGTGGTCATTAAGGTATTAAATAATTACATTCATCTATGACTAAATCTTATATTTAAATAAAACATAATTTAATATAGTTTATATATCATATTTGTTACATATAATAGCAATAAATCAATTGCCTTAATGACAAGGTATTTACACATATATAAAAATAGTTTGCATTTGAATCTCACATTTAACACTTTTAGAAATAATTTTTTTTAGATTTTTGAGTGTACTATAACACCACACAAGGATAAAACAATCCGACCAAAAGCTCGTTAATTCATTAGTTGGATGAAAAATCTATTGGGTGTTACGAGTTGATGACATTTCTAATTTAATGTGAGGTTTGGATTGGTTGGTTCATCACTCACCAATTTCTGAATGAATCGATAATTCAAATTAGATAATAAAAATATAATATAATTTAAATATTATTAAATATTAATTATCATATCACCTATTTAATATTGTATCATGGTTAATGGTTATATTATAATTTTAACACAACAAATAATATTTTATAGTAGAATTAAAATTACAAATTTTATAAAATAAAATATTAAGATTATAAAATTGAAATTAGATGATGAAAATTACATAATATTATGTGAGAATAAAAATGTAACTTAACTTTTTATTTTAGCCATGCTTTATAGACCTTTGACTTTGGAGTAACCGCTATATTCCTCTTAATATACTTCCTAATAAAAAATAAAAAATAGTTTGGGGTGGCCATGAAGTTGCTTTCCATCGGCACCCACGTAACCCATTTTGACCTGTATGGCTGTCTATATATTTTACTGCACTTTCGTACAATGATATATTCCACTTGCTTACCATCTGTAGAATCTTCTTATAGATGTTTAAAATACCAATAAAATGACGTATAAGTATGGTTTTTATTGCATGTCCTGAAACTTGAAAGTGATTTTAGATTTTTTTTTAAATTAAATGCACAAAAACAGTTCCACTTATAATTAATACGGCATGGGGTTGAATAAAAAAAACGACATGGTATGCACCCATTCACTTTATTTAATTATTTTCTTTTATGTAGTTGATTATTTGATTAAAGTGATATTTTTAGCATTATGATCAATTATTTTGTTTATATGGCATGGGATGCAATAATTTGAAAAGGTTTAAGGTCTCTCTATAATAATCTTATATAAATATTGGCTTCCTGTAAATACAGAAAAGATTTCTTTAAAATTTTAAAATAGATAAAATTCACTTCAATAGTGTTGAGAAATTATTTCTCAACTAAGTTCAATTCAGCAAAAACAACCTTTAATCGTTGAGTTGGGCGGTATTGTGGGAGATTTGATGGGGTTTATGTAGTTTAGGCGAAGGTTTTTGTTGGGATTATTAATTGGACCTCATCAAAATTTTACCAGTTATTTTTTTTTGTTACCTTAAATTGGAACCATTTAAAAATTTAATTGTAATGAGCCAGCGACTAAGTTATATCTAGATATTGGTTATAAATTTAAAATATGTTAAAGAAAGTGATTCGTGGAAATTATTCTTCCTATCAACCATTATATAATCATCAAAGAAATTTCTGATAGAAGACCCCAGTTGAGTGGTCTTTCCTATTTCAATCAAGCATGTCTTCTATGGATACATAACCAAAAGAAAAGAAGACTTAATGAACTCTCAGAAAAAAAAAAAATATATATATATATATATATAAGAATAGAAACGGCACTCTGTGAACATATGTTGGTGATACTGTAGTGCTAATGTGCCTGAAATGAAATTTGCATGAAAGCTCCATGAAACCCATATGGTACTCTGCGAGGCATTGTAATTTTGGCAACCGTATCGCCAGAAAACTTGTTTGTGTCAATTATATGAACCTGAAAGAAAAGTTTATAAGAGTTAATTAGTGTATGTAGCAAGATCCATCATATGTTAAAGAGTAATTTCAACCCACTTCAGATATGTTAGTGTCTTCATTGTGAACAAAAGCTATGATCCAACCATCATCTTCTTCAAGACCCCCATCTCTGGTGACAAAGGAAGCCCCACTGCAAAATGTATTCTTCTCAAACATGTGGCATTCCACTCGTATAGCCTCTTCAGGTTGCTCTTTCTCTCTCTGCTTCACAACATCCAAGTTATGATAATAATTGCAGCCAAGGAAATAGAATTTGCTATTAGTAAAACATGTTGTCCAAGTATTCTCTTACCATGGAAAACTCTGCACATGATTCTTCAAAGTAGAGCTTCGCTAAACCTCCATATTTTGGCACGTCTAAATAATCCAAATGACCAAGATGTTATAGAATATTTATATAGGAATTAAGGAAGGCTACTTATAGTTCTTAAAGAAAGAAAAAAAAAATCTTCTCTATTGTTACCTTGAGTAGAGCTTGCAATAAGATCAACTACTTGGGTGTATGCATATCTATTCCTAATACCTATGAAGTTTTCATTGATCATAGGAAAATCCATATAATATACGTTGGCTCCACACAGATCTCTCTCATTAACTTCTCCCGTTTGCATATTCAATCGCCACTCATAACAACGAGACAACCACTCAAATTCCATCAAACTTGGGTCAGGTGCAGGAACTAGTGAATCTAGAGATCTGCAGCCCCTCACTACAACCTGTTGATACACATTAACATGTATTTTCAAATTCTTAGTGCACCCTTTTGTTCATATATCTGAGAAATTCTTTTAGAATCTTCTATATTAGTATAATACTATTTACTTCTAGTTCTAAGAAACAAACCTCGTGACCATCCTCAAAAGAATTGATAATGTGAAAAGTGCAATTAGGTTCCACCTCAAACCATTTGATTGAGTTGGCATCACCATAGCGTGGCATTACCGCAATCCTAGCGTATTCCTCCTTATTATACTTAATTAATCTACACGCAGACAAGATCTGCTGAGTCACATAACTTATCTATAACCATATCATAGTTTGAATTGAAGGCATTTTCTCTCATAATCATACAAAGGATATACACTCACGGGCCACCTCTAAGAAGTCTGTTTAGATCAATGGTTAGTGGAAAATCCATGATCACATTGTACCTGCAAAACAAAAGCCAATATACATATTTACATTGCAGAGTTCAGATAATAGCTCCAAGTCAACATAATAGTCAACAATGCTACCTCTGTGTAACACCCAACTCATGGCAAAGACTGCACCTCTTTAGTTTAAGGTCAACTTTATGAACCAATTTCTTTCCATCAGCTGAAAAAGAAGAGGAAAAGAAGCACATAATCAGTCTAACAGACATTATTCACAACTGGAAGCAAGTAATTAATACACTCTTTTCCCTTTAATTCTACAATGCAGAACATACCAGAAATAATTCCAACTACGGCAAAAGGTTTCGTTGGGGAAACCCCTAATGTAACTAGTTCCCCTGTGCCTGGAGCTTTCTGCGAAAGTACAACAAAGCAATTTGAGAGAGAGAAAAAAATTCAGAGTAATAAAAATATTGATTTGCAAATCTACATATAAAGAATAACCTTTGGATGACTGGTAAAAGGACGATCCCAGGCTCCATTGACATCCCAATTTTTTAAAGTTTTGAGTGTAAAGATATCGATCTCTTGTGGGATGTGATTTTCAGCAACAGAGTAAAACTTCCCTGAATGCTCAAAGACATTGGTGTTGCTGATGTACTTGTTTACTTTGCCAAATCGCAACTGTTAAATCCACAAGATGTGACTAAATGAGGCATGCTAAGTCAAAATACCACCTTTAGCTACCTAGGAATTGTGGGTCCAAAACCTCATCATATTGTTGCTTGATGCTTCACTTGTGTGTTTGATTTCTTTTAGCCATATAAAAGCATGAATTTTGAGAAGAAACAACATCATATTTAGATTTATATGTGTGCTTGCTAAGCATAATCGGATCATTATATCTTTTCTAGGTTTGGATATTAATCTTAGAATGCAAGTTTGAACTTCACTCAATCTTGTAAAATTGACACGTAAAATAAAAATTAATTTTCATTTATATACTTTATTTTATGTAGGATTTTCAACAACAAAGTCTATTAAAATCTGCAACACTGTCCACTAATTTTAACTACTGGTTCTTTGCAACCAAGACTAGTTTTGTTTCTAGTGTTCTGACTTATGAGAATCATATTAATTAGTAAGCTGACCCAGTTTAGCAAATAAGAAGACAAAATGGCTGGTGAATCGCCTTGTATGACCGGTAGAAACAATGGTTTGCTTTGCTGCTTTTCAAGCTTGTATGTGTCGGTTTCAACGTGCTTGTTGTTGTAAAGGATCGTCCAGCTCCCATGACTTGACCTTTTAAAGTACAACGCGTGAAGCATTCCCTCTCCTTCCACCCAAGTGTGACTACACCTCCCAAAGATAGAATTTGTTGATTTTAGTCCTCCAAAAAGTGGATTTGGTCCTGCAAAGTATGTACCCAATAATTATTTTGAATACTATAAATATGTTTAGCTAGCAAGCAGCCGTATCCATCTTATGGTAATTTTGGATTTTAGTATTCTTAATTAATTAATCGTATCAAAAGTTGACCTACAACCGTCTAATATACTTATGCTTTGACTTACACTCCGAGTAATATTTTTTTTTGTACTGTATATTATAATTGTACCTTGCAGCCCGCAACTTTAGCTTGACTGAAACTTACAAAGTACTCGTATGCACCAATAACATACAAGTATAGATGCAACGGGTAATAGAAAAAAACTAAGAAAAAAAAAAGATAAACTATATTCTAATTCATCTTACAAAATTAGTTTTTAAACTAAAGATTATTTTTTACTTATTTACGTTAATTTGAATTTATCATTAGTCAATGCGATATTTTTGGGAAAAAAAGGATCCTAGAAGTGTGAATGGGGTGTTTATATTATATGAAAAATATTAGCTATATGTGTAGAGCTCCTATCTATGTTGACAAGATAAAAATCAAATTACTACAGGTTTGTGTTGTTTTCACTGTTTTCTCCGCAATATTATATTATATAAGAATACAAAGCACTGAAAGCAATGTAAAATTCGCATTTTTATCTTTGGTAAGAGTTTATGGCATCTATGTAAACCTAAATTTTAAGATAAAGTTGAAAGGAAATCCCCACCATTTCTAATGTAGACACCCTCAGGAAAATCGTCTGGAATTCGTCCTTGGATGGTGGTCACAAGTATGGCTTCGCCTAACTCCTCCACCGGAGCAAAGTTACTCTGCATAGTTAATGAAACACTAGTGTTTAAGGGTTTGAAAGAACCTATGTGATGTGCTTTTGTAAATGCAGTGCACCAAGTCAAAGTCAAGAAGAAGAAAATAACTTGCTCATACCTGAGATGGAAGCAGTGGTTGGTCAATAAATTCAAAGAATGAATCTACAAAAGCGTCGAGTAATCTAGCTGCAGTGTTTGTCATAGTTTTGTGAACATATTCAATTTGCAAGGGGCCTTCATGAAGAACTTTCTTAAGTGGCTGCTTAACAAATCACATATTCATCACATGCAGTTAAAGTGGGAAAAGCAAAAGTAAAATAAAATGTTTACCTTAAAGGCAGGGAAGAGTGGAAGGTTGTCATGATGAGAATTGTCCGAGGCATAAGAGGGTCTTTTCTGAATGGAGCAATTCACTAAGAATGTTTTATTTGAAGTGGCCATATAGATTTGGTGTTAATGTAGCTTGGTGTGTCTGTGTTCATCACAGTTAGTGTCACTTCGAGACATATGCCAAATTAAATGCCTTTTGAAAGCACGGCATATGGTGCACACGTCTAAATATGCTGCATCGAAATCGGCTTGAATGAAGATGAATTTGCGAGGTCTATTGGGAATTTATATTTCTATACCTAACCTGGGATTATATTTTAATAAAAATTGTATTTGTTTATATCGAGTTATATTTTAAGTGGTATAATTAAGTGAGCACGTAGATCATTAAAAAATGTGACATGGACTCAATGAATTGTACCATTATTGGTTTCACTTCGTCTTAATATAACCTTTATTGGAGTCAATAAATTAATAAGAAATTTTGGTTATGCTCCCCCAACATATCAAGTTCTGGAGTTGTCTCTCTTCTCCATCTCAAGTGTTATGAACTATGAAGGTCCCATTGAGGATTCAAAATGCTTCAATTGGGGAAGAACTATAAGATCCAACATTCTTTGTTTGTGCTTGTGATTACAATAAATCTTTCTCATTGATCGAGTAATGAATAGTTATGAATTTATGTATTTATTCTAATCATCAATAATTTGACATGTTATAGATTCCAGAGTCTTTAGTGTATGAAAAGGCAAGTTTAACCTTAGTCAGTGTTCCATTAGATGCAAAAGATTTTTCATGTATCAACTGGTGAGAGTTTCATGTACGTTCAAGTCTATACTTGTCCTAACAGATTTTATAGTGGGAGTTTTATTAGGGAGATATTTGAACAATCCTATCATGCAATGTTGAACAACAATTAATACGTTACTTGAAAAGGAAAATAAACTACATGTTCATCTTTTCTTTTCTTTTTTGTTAGCCTTCTTTACACCAAAAGAAAAAATAAAATAAAATGTCTTTTATGTAAATATAATCGATACGTTTAAAATAAGGATTTGATCTCTAAAATGAATAGTATATTTTAAAAGATAATATATAATAATAATCGATAATTAAAAAGTCAATGAATGATAATTATGATAATATTAAATACATGTATAATGAAATCTATAATTGATTATGTTCCGGTATATGCCTAAAAGTGTTATATCTCGAGGTTAAAGATAGTTTATAAACACTCTCCCTCCTTAACCTATTAATGCGCCTTTTAAAGGATAAAACCGTGACAGTCCAACGAGTGTCAAAGCGGACAATACCTTGATGGGACTTGTTCTGGTATGTCTAAAAGTCTCACATCGCTCAGTTTATAAACACTATCCCTCCTTAACCCACCAAGGCGCCTTTTAAAGGACAAAACCGTGGCGGCCCAACGAGTACCAAAGCGGACAATACCTCGGATGCGGTGACCCTAACGATTGACAACAGACTTACGGTAGGAACAGATTATAATATTTATCCTTGATTTTTAATTAGTGATTACATTTTATTTTCTAATGTACTTCATTTTAGGAGATCCAAATTATTAAAATAATGATTAAATTGTATATTTGGTCCTTCTATTTTTTTTTTATCAATATGTGATTTTAGTCATTTTATTTTAAAATAAAATTATTTAATCCTTCTAATTTTATAAATACAAAATTTTTATCAAATTAACATCGATTAATTAATAGTTAAAATTTGACTTTTAATCATACTTAAATGATGTGACATTAAATAATATGACATTTGAAGGTTAAAAAATATTAAAAAAATATGTGAAAAAGATTGATTAAAAAATAAATAATAATCACTCATTAAAATATACATAAAAAATATTTTTATATGTTATTTTTTTAAAATTTATATATCTACGTTTTATGTCACTAAATATTACATCACTTAAATAGTGATAAACCACTAAATCATGTAAAAGTTTAATGATTAATAAATATTAAATTAGTAATAAGACAAAATTTTATATTTTTTAAAATAGAAAGACTAGATAGCTATATTTTAAAATAGAGGGATCACAATTACATTATTGCATATAAAAAATAATAAAAAAAAGTGTAATTTGGTATAAAATAAAAGCCCATCTATACTACTATACTAGTGTCTAGAGTCTAGACTCATCTTATGTCTTCTTTTTTTTTTTATTTTTTATTTTTTGTATTTTTTGTGTAATTGGTATCAAGCAAGACGGAGGCACTTGTATCTCGACCGGAAGGTGAGATCCTGTTTTTGGACGTATATCAACTCATTGGAATACGTCTCTTCAAACAATTTCCGTTAATCTTTTATTTTTACTTAACTATCCTATATTCCCTCGTGTTTGATATGTTTTAAATCCAACATACGAACAATATATATAAGAACAAATTTGAATATATTATCCTTTAAAAGTTGAATTTTTATATTTGTAAAATTAAATTCCAAACTATAGAATTATTAGGGTTAACTTGCGGTTTTTAAAAATTATTTTCTGTTTTGAAAATTATAAAATAACAAATTAATAAAAAAAATATTAAAATGTCTTTAAAACTAATATCTCTTTTTAGTTTTTAAAATGAAAAATGAAAACATCTTTAAATTGTGTTAATTATTTACTTTCAAATTATTATTACCAATGATCTTTCTTTTTACATCTTCTCCCATCCTAATTCTCTATAAATTATTTATAAATTATTTTTAAACTTGTAATATAAAATATTTTTTAAAAACTAAAGATGTATAATGAAACAATAAATTGTAGTGCCCTTATAGGGCCGCATTTATAAGTTTAAAAAAACTTAATTATTCAAGACATGGTAGAAATTTCCATTATTCACACACCTCTTGACAATTGACAAAAAAAAAAAAACTTTGGACCTAAGGTATGGATAATGCACAAGCATAGCAATATCTTGAGCTTTAAATTTATTTTGGAACAATAATGATGATAAAGATTAAACAATCATTTGGACAAAGAAGACTCCTACACCAAATCAAGAATCAATCATCCCTAAAGCACGAGTAAATATAAGAAGGCTCAATAGTACTTTGCAATTTATATAATTTATAGTGATATACACGTGAAATATATATAAAATAAGTTAGACCTTATATTTTTGTTTAAATTCTAACTTATCAATAAAAGTAATTTGGATTCCTGCTTATGGAATGATAATTATTTTATGTCCAGATAACTCTAACAAGTTGTTTAAAGAAGCAACTATCTCTTTTTCAAGCAACTCATGTTATCACGTCAGAGTCTTCCAATGACAAGAAACTGGGACTTGAGTTGCTTCATGAGACAAGCAACTCCTATTAATTAATGAATAAAAACTATTAAATTAATGACAATATTCAAACTATTTATGAAAGCTTTTGAAAGAATGTAAAAATTCCATAAAAATGCCCTAGGAAAAAGTTGAAGCATTGGAGAAGCATCACAGTCTTGAATCTCTTGATATAGTCTCCAATGTTATTATCTCCAGCAATGTCAAAAAAATAAAGGTTAATTTGATTAATCTTGTCTTCCTGTAAAACAAATGATTGGTTTAATTTTAGCACTCAAAATATAATTTGCAGATGTTGCATTGCTGCAAGCTAGCATTGCATTGATCACAACAATTGATAACCCCTAGACCAATAGTTAGATCTGCAAATAAGTATGCCATTAAAGAAATGTTAACCAACACATTGTAAGCATGCATTACACGGTACAATGAACATCTCATTCTCATTCTCAATACTTGAATGCTTGGACCATGTGTATGTTCAAATGAAATGAACCCATAACAACCTAATAATCTTATGACACCACCTAATGAAAGGAGAAGACAACCCTTAAAATCTTAGTTCCAACCCTAACTTCGTATCTAATTGGATTGAAGGAAAAATGTATCATCTTCTCCTTCTTCCTCTTTCTCGTTGTTGTCCACGAAGGTTTCCTCAGGGAAAAAATTAGAAGCAAAAACCTTCTTGTATTGGCTCATGGCTCAGGATGTGCTAGACATTGATATTCAAGCGACGAACTCAACATAAACAGAGCATTTGAACTCTGAAGAATGTTGCACATGTGCGATGGAAACCTTAACAAAATTAACAAAAAAAAAAGATTAAAATCAATGAGATTTTACCTTTTATCAATTGAATGTGAGAATGTAGAAGTGTGCAGAGAGGCAAAGTTATCTCAAAGAGGTTATCACGATTAGATGCCCTAGGTTTTAATTTTTTAATAAAAGAAATGTTATACATGTTTCTCTCGAGATTTAAGGGTATTTTTCTTCTAAAAAATGTTAATTTAGAAATTATAAATGCGTATAATGTGTCTTCAAGGAGCACCTTAAGCTTGAGAATAAAGATATTTAAAATACTGTGGGGGTGATAAATCGTAAAATAAAATTGTTAAAAAATACTGTAGAGGTTAGTATAACTGTCACAACTATAATATTTTCTAGCAATTTTCTTAGATCGCTAAAAAACATCCACAATAAACACTTATATATATATATATATAGAGAGAGGAGGGTTTAAACGACACCGGTGTAACTTTTACTAAGTGTTACACCGCTCAATAATTTTATATTAAATGTGGATTTTGAAAATTCAACCGTTGGATTAAAAGTTCATATCTCATAGATCATATATGTCAAATTTTGTTAAAATTGAACAACAACTTGAAGGTAATCAAAGTGTTCATATTTTAGTATATTTTGAAATGTATATATTACGTCAATTTTCTTTTATGAGAATGAAGTATCAAATCACCTTAGATTAATATAAAATTTGATATATATGATCTAAGAGATATGAACTTTCAATCTAACGGTTGGATTTTCAAAATTCACATTTAATATAAAGTTATTGAGCGGTGTAACACTTAGTAAAAGTTACACCGGTGTCGTTTGAACCCTCCTCATATATATATATATATATATGATAGTGACAATAAAATGATATTTTTAGTCGTGATTTTAAAAAATAAGATACAAATTATAATTTTTATTTAAGAAATACAAGTACCGACTTGAATTAACAAATTTTAGTAATTAAATAATTTATTATAATTTTTAATTTTAATTAATATTTAGTATAAAAAAAATTTATATTATCAACTAATTAAAAATTATTTTATATATAATTTTTAATATGATTATTAAAAAAAATTATAATCTTATCAACATAATAATTTATAATTGACTGAATATTAACAATAGTTAAAGTGACACTACATTCTAACTAAATTCTTTATTAAATCCCATTTAATAAAAAAATATTTAATTGTTTAAGAACTTTTATAAACAAGTAATTATTAGGGTTTTATTGTACACCATATAGGCATATACGGACAAGAAGTTCTGATGCACTAAATAAAACGTGTCACAAAGTAGAGAGAGGAGAGGAAGTTCCCATGTAAAATAAATAAAACGTGATGATATTAATCAATCAAAGAGGACGCACCCCTTTCAAACTGATCATGATCAAAGACCATTGCACAACAAACACTTTAGGGCATTTCATTTTTTATCATGTGCCACAACCCAAAATTATATACCATTTCCCCCCCCCTCCATTAGCATAGTGAATAAGATATTACTACTTCCGTTTTTTTTAAGTATTATCTAAGGTTTTCTTTTAAAAAAAAGAAACATAATATTTTTATTTTTCGTAAAGTAATTTTAAATTTTTTATTATTTTTATTCCATGATAAATACACACTAACTGTATATATGTAAATTAATAAATAAATAAATATATATATATATATATATATATATGAAAATAAAGATATAATTAAGAAAAGAATAATTGATGTTATTTTATACTTTGAAATTGATAAATACATAAAAGTATTTATAAAAAAACTGATAATTAAAAAATAGAGAGCAATAATATAATAACTATTAAATGATTAATGAGTCATTGATTTGAATGATACTGAATTCAATCATCTTAAATAAGATATCAAAATCAAGTCTTGTGAAGATAAAAGTTAAGAAAGAAAATCTCACTCAAATTAGATTTCTCACAAAAATTAGTAATTGATAAAGCTGATTATTAGTTAAAAAAAACATATTAAATGTTATGATAAGATTCTTCTTGACAGTTCTAGAACAATATATGTTCATATAAAAAATACGATCGAAATTGACAACCCATCCCCTCCTCTTTTCTATTTTGTTAATTTTCTTACATGCTACTCTTCATCCTCGACATAATTTAAAAGTTTGATCGAGACTTCAATTATTATATCCTAATAAACTAAATTTATTTTATCTTTTTAATTATAAGATAAATTGTGGAGTATTTCTTTAGTTTAAAAAAGTTATTACTTTTCTTTTTTTTTTTTTATTTAAAAAATTACTCAGAATTATTCAATTAAAATAAATATTTAAAAAAAATCCTCAAAATAATATTTTATCAATTAATTTAAATTTTTAAATTAAAAAAATCAAAGACACATTTTTATATTATATATTTTACCGGAAAAAGTCATATATATGAATATAAATTAGTCTTTGATTCTCATTATTAAGATATTACATATATGGCCAAATAAAAATATTTATACATATGTATATATATAAATATTTTTTATATTTTATATTTACACCGTAAATATACACTTATATTTCATTCATATTTCTAACTACTTGTGTGTATATATAAATTATATATTCTCATCAATTAAAAATAGAATTTAAGTAGTGTTTACAAAATTTGAGTCATGTTCAACTAATCATGATTTTACAAGCTGAAGTTCATTATGTAGAATTGAATTTATCCAAATTTAATATAGCAAAAATTGCCCAGTGATTGATGAACTCATGACATCATGTAACACCCAATTCCTCGTCATATAGGTTTAAAAACAGAGTAATAGCCCAGAATTTACGTGTCGCGGTTAAGGATCTAACAAGTCAAACTGCAATAGAGAACATTAACTAGGTTGATTCTGCTTTTTCATAACGAGTAATTATCAAGTTAATATTTAGAAAAAAAATTAAAACATTAACAAGATTTTGCGGCTGCGCACGGGAACAACCCACTTAACAGTTGCAATAACCTGTGTCTGTTTAAACTAGTTTTCAATTTTACTTTAATAATTACAAAATTATGTTAAAAGAGAAAACAATAAATAACTGCTTCAATTTTTCCACTTTTTTCACCATAATTTTTGGGAGTTATAATTGATTGGAGGAAGTAGCAAAGACGTTTTAAAAAGAGAATGGTTTGTACAATTTTGAATAACAACGACACATATAGGGGTGGGCAAAAAAAACTGAACTGAACTGAACTGGTGGTGAACTGAACTGTACTGTACTATAAAAAATTGAACTGTTTGTAAAAAAACTGAACTGAACTGTTTAAAAAAAAAACTGAACTGAACTGAACTGTTGGATAGTTAACTGTATTGAACTATAAAACTGAACTGAATTATAAAAATTGAACTATTTTTATAAAAGGATAAAAATTAAATGTGTCTAACATGTTATGTCTTAATGGATTAACTCGATAGTCTAATAACCAAAACTTAAAAAAAAAAAAAAGTGATCCAAAAAAAATTGTATCAATTTTGTCGAATCTAACGGATCAATTGAGCTATGTTGGACTACTTATTTTTAGGCTTAAAATTCAATGAGTTTGTTTGACTTAATTATATATATATATTTTTTGAAAAATTTAAATAAAATGGAAAATAAAGTAATATTGGCAAATGTGTCTTATTTTGATAGATCAATGAGTCAAAATTGTTCAATTCAAAATATCATAACAGTTCAGTGCAGTTTAAACTGCAGTTCAGTTCAAGTTTTTATAGTATAGTTCAGTTCAGTTCAATGACACAAAAAAATAGTTCAGTTCAGTTAGTCTGAACTAATATTTAGTTTAGTTCAGTTCATAAGAACTATTTTTAAGTTCAGTATAGTTTTTATAAGTTCAGTTCAGTTCAGTTCATTTTGCCCACCCCTAGACACATCGTGTAAAGTACGACATAAGTTTTGAAAGTGGAGTTAATGTTTTCACCGATATATTGATTAAGAGAGAGAATAGAAAGAGTAGACTTTGGCTGCTGCTTATGGGGGTGACGCTCCACCCTAGTCAAGCTCTCTCTTCCAACTACACCGTTTCTCTTTTGCTTCGTTACTATGCAACTTCCAACATGTTCCTTAGATGCAACAAGGTACTTGACTTTGTTTTGCTTGCATTTCTTTTTATGTTCATGGAAGATACAAGAGCTAGAATTGAATTTTAATTTCTTAAAAAAATATACTTTTGACCATCTCTACGAAAACTTCAACGTGTAAAAGTAAATATAGAAGTAGCCACCTTGTTTTGTGTGTGCTTGATCTGGAATTGCCTGAAAGGGGGAAGAAAAATTAAAATAATCTTGGAATCTAATTTTACAACTGGGTCTTGACACCTACAACTTAACTAAAACGCCAAGTAGTTCCAACTTCCAAGGAATATTCTCATCTTCTACCATCTGGGTAATTCAACTTCAGCAACCTAAGGAGGGGTTCACGTTGAATGCTGTTTATTTGTGGTAAAGTTATCAGTTTGTTTTCTTAGTTCTCGTGTTTTTTTTTTCCTGTCTTGTTTATTTGTTTTTCTTTATAATTTTTATGCCTTCTGTAAAAGAACGAGAAGCAATTGATGTAATTTGGAGCTGGATTTTTATGGTGCACGAGGGTAGCATCAGAATTGGGAGGTGGGTTTTGAGGACACTGATTTTACTCTGGTTTTGAACTTTTGAACTCTGATCCTGAATTAGTAACCAAGGGATTGCTCTGTGGCTGTTTATTTGTGTGCTATCCTTTTTCCCCCTTTTCTCAGTATTTCTTACTAGGCCTTTTGCTTCTATGAACTTCAACTACAATTATTTTCCAGAAATCATCTCACTTGTATTCAACTTCTGCGTACATATGCAGAAGATAGATTTGTATTGTAATTGGGACATTCATGTTGCTGTTTCTTAGAAGTGTTCATATGTGGAAATCTGGATCATGGTTATTCCATTGTTACTTTACCTTCTTGCTATTGCCAATTTTTTGTGACGGGGGCATTTCAATTGGGTGCATTTGAGGGTGAATTACAGAAATAGTTCATTCCAAATTTCCAATGCGTGTGCTCTAACCTTTAGGTTCAATTGATTCATACCAGTATGCGTTAACTCGATGTAAAGTTATAACAGTTAATCCCCTTCAAGGCATGATAGTTTTCCTCGATTTGGTTTACACACTAAGATCAAGCCTATCAGTAATCTCTCTATGTAGAAAGAAAGAATGGAAATGATTTAGAGTGCTGAACTATGCACTTTCTTGTGTAAATCTGCAAGCAAAGTAGACCTTTTCATAAACCAACTCATATATTTTGGTGAATTAATACAAATCTTAAAAGTGATACTTTTTTCTTTTTCATTTTTTGTGAAAAAATACAACCTTTCTTACTTGCATTTTCTATGAATAGGCACAACCATATGAAAGGACCTAACTTTTCATTAATTTTGAAAGTCTCTTTGACAAACAACGCTAATTCGCTCCATTTTCTTTAGTGTTATAAAGAATTTGCCTCTTTCTTCTCACTAAATCTAGGTTTCTTTTTTTTTTTTTATGATCAGCAGAGTTAATATGGTAATTGGGCAGTGACGTTGGTTCAGTAATTTTAGCACGATGGGTCAAGAATTGTCGTCAATATTTCAGTATGAGAAAAAGAGATTATTATGGCTTATTGGCATAACCTTTGCAATGATTTTAGCATTCCATTATTTCGAGCTTCCTTATGTTGAGGTTCAACCCCTTGTATTCTCTGACAACAAGATACCAACATCAGATAGTATTAGATTCCGAGCTGCAAATCTGCCTTCTGAGTCTGAAATGTTTAACAATATGACAACTTTGAAGCAAGAAAATTCTACTGGTCAAAATGCCTTTGAGATTGTTCATGAAACTAGGACTTCTGAGGAAAAGGACAGTGCTTCAAGAACTGGTCTCATCTCAGAACCAGGAAGGGAATCAAACAGATCTTCAGGAATTGATGCAACTGATGACAGTTCAACTTTGGTATCAAATAATGGTTCTGTAATAGAGAAGGCAGGAAATCTATCCCTGAGCACTTACAACGATACTATTTCTCATTCAATAATACCAACTTATTTAGCTCCACCTCTAAGTCCAACAAAACTGAGCCCAAATATTACACCTCCAATGTTATCACATGATTATGAGGAAACTGATTCTGAGGTGGATGAGACGTTGAGGACATTACAAGATGATGTCAATATACTAGACAATGATTCTTCTATCAACAGTGTGCCTAAGGGGACTAAAGATTCTCAAATACCAGTTCCGAAAGTAACAACAATCTCTGAAATGAACGAGTTATTGCTTCAGAACCGTGCCTCATATAGTTCTATGGTACATGATTTAATGCCATCTTTTTTCATTTTATGACTAATCATAGTATATTCTTGTGTTCTGGTCTAATGTTGATAACTTGTTTCTAGAGGCCAAGGTGGTCTTCTGCTGTTGATCAAGAGCTACTGAAGGCCAGATTAGAGATTGAAAATGCACCAATTATAAATGATGTTGCAAATCTTTATGCTCCTCTTTTTCGAAACATTTCCAGGTTCAAGAGGTATCATTTGATTATTGTGGTTCTATATTATATTTTGAAAAATGTTTCAGAAGCATCTCCAGGAAGAAAATTTCTATTGTTGCAAACTACAGATGTATGGATAATTGGCTATCTTTGTAATGATAATATGAGCTGAAACTTTTGTGGACAGTGAGGGAGAGTTGCTATGTAGTAGATATCATTCTGAAAAGTGATAACATGTGAAGTTTAAACTCTTCATTTTGGGTCTTCTATTTCTTTTGCCTAAATATCAGTGTCTTGATCAGCGTTTAGATCATATAAAATATCGTATAATTCATTAAAATTGCTGGACTCAGAAGCAAAATTAAACCAAAAAACTGGCAGAGATGTGCATTTTTGTAAATGTGTAGCAGCTATGATATATGAAGCAAGATTCTTATTGACACTGCTAAATCTTCGTTTAACCTTGGTATTAATTATCCTTTGACTGTCTAATTGTCAGGAGCTATGAATTAATGGAAAGAACTCTTAAAGTGTACGTGTATAGAGAAGGATCTAAGCCCATAATGCATTCACCATATCTTTTGGGAATTTATGCTTCTGAGGGATGGTTCATGAAGCAGATGGAAGGTAGTAAACAATTTGTGACTAAAGACCCAAAGAAGGCCCACCTATTTTACTTACCTTTCAGTTCTCGGATGCTAGAGGAAACATTGTACGTACAAAATTCACATAGTTCTAGGAACCTGATTCAGTATCTGAAGAATTATGTAGACATGATTGCTGGGAAGCATCATTTCTGGAACAGAACAGGAGGTTCTGATCATTTTCTTGTTGCTTGCCATGACTGGGTATATATGTTTTTCCTTCTTCAATGAATGTGCCTTTTCTTCTTCAGTTCTTTGTCAAGTTAATTTTAGCTAGTGCTTATGGAGAAACTTATCTAAACAAATCATACCCGTTTGTTATTTAACATTTAATTGTATTATTATTACTACTATTACTTCTTATCACTATCACATCATGGCATGCTACAAAAAACTTGCATTGGTAAATGTTTATTGCATTAGTCTTTTCTACTGTATCTTTTCGCAATATAAACCTCTCGACTACATTATGCAGGCCCCTACAGAAACAAAGCGACACATGGCCAAGTGCTTAAGAGCCCTATGCAATGCTGATGTCAAAGAAGGTTTTGTCTTGGGGAAGGACGTGTCTCTTCCTGAAACCTTTGTCCGCAGTGCTCAGAGGCCTACTAGAAACATTGGTGGAAACAAAGTTTCAAAGAGGAAAACTCTGGCATTTTTCGCAGGGGGAATGCATGGTTATGTTAGGCCAATCTTGTTGCAGCACTGGGAAAATAAAGACCCTGACATGAAAATCTTTGGGACACTGCCAAGGTCTAAGGGAAACAGGAACTACATCCAGTACATGAAGAGCAGCAAGTACTGTATTTGTGCAAAGGGCTATGAGGTGAATAGTCCAAGAGTTGTGGAGGCCATCTTCTATGAGTGTGTGCCTGTTATTATATCAGATAACTTTGTGCCTCCATTTTTTGAGGTTTTGAACTGGGAATCCTTTGCTGTTTTTGTTTTGGAGAAGGATATTCCAAATCTGAAGAACATACTCATTTCCATACCGCAAAAGAGGTATCTTGAAATGCAGATGATGGTGAAAAGGGTGCAGCAGCATTTCCTTTGGCACAGGAGCCCTGTTAAGTATGATATATTCCACATGATACTTCATTCTATTTGGTACAACAGAGTCTACACTGCAAGAGCTAGATAGATTATTTTGGAAACTTGGCTAAAGTAGATTGGAAAAAGCTTTTCTTTAGGGAAAAAACATTCTTTGGAGGACAGACATGGAGAATAAGATCGAAGATGGTAATTAGTACGGTCATTTTATGTTTTATAGAGATTTTGGTGTAATTAAATTTGTATATAGTTATTCTCACGTTGTTTTGAGTCACTCGGTAGTCCTTGTAACGTATCCTATGCTCCTGTAATTGGTTTGGCTAAAAGAAATAGTTTTTTTTTTTTTTTTTTTTAATTTACTTCCGTGGATTAATAATATATCTTTAATATCTTCTTTTTTCTTTACTTATTTCCAAATACCGTTTTCTATAAAATATTTTTTAGAAGAGAAAAAATATTTTTTTGTAAGACAAAAATACACTTCTAGAAATCCCTTTTAGAAGATAAATAAATTTTTTCTCTTGAAAAGTATTTTTGAAAGTATATTTTTTTGCTTCCATATACTTTTAAAAAATATTTTTCGAAAATATATTTTTATCTTTGAAAAAGTACAATTTGGATGTAAGTTTTTAACATTCCTAAACTCTAAGAGTAAAAATATACTTTTGAAAACAACTTTTCACAAGGAAAGTATTTTTATTCTTCAAGTGTTATTATTTTTTGGAAGTATATTTTAAGAATTAGGAAATACAATTTCAGAATGTCTTTATAAAATTCACAATATTGTATCATATATATCTAATATTAAAAATAGAGTAAAAAATTAGGATTTAAAAATTTTTGAAATTAAAAGTACAAAATAATATGATTTAAAAAATAATAAAAATGAATCTGTCTTGATTGTTGGAGAGAAAACGTAAAAAAAATAATAAAAAAATAAAAATGAAGCGTATCAAGGATGATTAGAGAATAATACAATACCGAAAGAAAAGAAGTAAAAAAAAATGTATGAAGAACGGTTTTTGAAAATAACATTTATGGTATGTTTGGATGAAGAATTTATATAGGGTAATTCATTTATTTGAAGAATTTCAAATTCTTTGAGGTGAAATGTTTTGTTTGGATGATGAATTTATAAAGAATTTGAAATTCAAGCATTTGTGAAATTTCTTAAAATAGTAAAATTTCAAATTCTTCCAAAAATGGGAGAATTTGAAATTCCTTATAATTTTTTTTCTTATTTCACCTATATATTTTATCTTATCTCTTCATTCTTTTAATTATTGGATATATAAAAATATTTTTAAAATTATTAAATATTATCTTATATTAATTTTAAAATTATTAAATATTATCTAATATTAATTTTTAAAATTATTAAATATTTAAAAATGGATTAATATTTATTTTATAAAATTTAATTTAAAAATCTCAACATATAAATATATTTTTAAAATCAATTTTACTATGATAGAACCAAATTATCATATTTAACCTAACAATTTAAAATTTAAGAAATTTGAATTGACTCATCCAAACAAAATATTTTAAGAATAATAAAAATTGAAATCAAAGTAATTCAAATACCAAGAATTTAAAATTCCTTGAATTTGTAAAATTCCTCATCCAAACACACCATTATTGTTTTTAAAAAATTATAAGAATATTTAAAGAAATTTTTTTTAAAAAAAATTGAGAAAAGAGAAGAAAGTGTATATGACATTTGTAAAAAAAAAATGATGGGAATGGAGATTACCTAAATGCAGAGAAAGAAACTGTATATGAAATTTGTTATAAAAAAAATGATGGTGGGAATGGGATTGCCTATTGTATTTTGGCGAATGATTGAGGACCATGTTTTTAAATGCCACTATTATATTTTGTATGAAAATACGGTTCTTAGATTACGTAATAAATAGAAGATCGTAGTCTATCTAAGGATCTTACTTTAAAAAACATTATAATAATATAATTGCATTGGAGATTTATTAAACTCGTAAATAGCATTCGAAAATCAAGCACTGCAATCACATATTATTGGTTAGTTATCAACTTTAAAATATTATATAAATTATAAAAGAAAAAACTCAAATAAAAATGTAGTGTGTATTTAATGTGCGTCAAAGGACGATACAAGTAAATGAGTAATGTCATAATACAAGTTTTTGTTCAATTTAATTTTTAGCGGTCATGCCCTAAACAAAACATTTGTTCAAGTCAAAACACTCTTAATTTCTATCACCACTATTTCAATTTCAAGTTTGTTAATATTATTAAGTATTGTATTTAAAGTTATTATATTTTATTTCTTGAAAAGGTATCTTAATGAATTAAGTGAGAATAATGTTTATAATTGATTATTGATTTTGATAAATAAGAAATTTGAAATTATTTTATAAAATTGTGTTACAAGAAAAGATGATAGAATAAATTTAACAATACTAATAATTAGAATATAAATTTTCATATAAGTGAAATTTTATCCTGATTTAATCTTATAAAAATTAATTTATAATATAAAAATTATTTTTTATTTATATACATTATTATGTGATTCACATGAGAATTTGAAGTTATAAGTTAATTTTTTTAACGATTTTTCTAATGTGTACTCTAGGGCACACTTTAACAATGATTAAAATTCACTATCCAATGTCTCTTTTTAGTACATTTATTATGTGAGAGTAAACAATAATAAATAACATTAGTTCTGATTTTTAAAACTAATTTGATATCATTTTTAACCCTACCCTTCCATTTACTTTTTTCATTTCCAATTAAAACAATAATGAAACAAATTTTAACAATATTTTACTTAGGGGTGTATTGGATTAGGATTTTAAAGAACTTTTTTAGTTGAAAAAAGTTATGTGGATTTTAAAAGATTTTACAGGAATTTTCATGACTTTTAAGATTTTGTAGGATTTTGCAAGATTTTAAATTAAGATTTTAATAGATTCTGCAAGGTTCTTAAATCAGAATTTTAATGGATTCTGCAGAACTTTGTAACCTTTGAAGAATTTCGTAGATTTTTGACATACGATAAAAGTTCAAGATTTTTTTTTCATACATTTAAACTTAAAAAGAGTCAAAGATAAATTTTTAAAATTTTTAATTGCTTTCAATTATTCATTCACGAAGAAATATTTTTAGTATTAAATTCTAAGATACCACAACGTCTTATGTTAATTTCCTTTTAAAAATATAAAAATCCTAATTTCACAATATAAAAATTAAAAAAAAATAAAATTCATAGTAAAAAAAAAAAATTGTTGAATCATAAAAGGAGGAAGGATAATAGTAACAAACTAAAGAGATGAAGAGAGATAGTTGTTTTTGTGTTGAGAGGGTTATTCTCCCAACTAAGATCTATTCTCATCTCATTCTATTCAAAGAAACTCTAACTCAAATTCATCACACACACACACACACACACACACACACACACATATATAGATATGGTAACAGTAACACACATGCACTCACCATCAAATTATATATTTATATTCCACAATTCTTGTATATAATTTAAGTAAATATTTATGTATAGATTGGTGATTGAATTTACTTATATATATATATATATATATATATTTGTTCTACTAAATTTAAATTGATTATAAGGTTTTGAAGATCTACAGTTGATTGTAGAGAGCAAGATATCAATTTCAGTTTTCACTTTTTTCTCTTGACGCATGTTATAAAAAATGGAGAAGACAAAAACATAAAAAAAGAGATGAAAAATTCACTTGAAAATTCTTAAAGCACTTGAAAAGTCACTTCAAACAATCCTCCGAAATCTGATGAGTTTGGATGAGATTATTTTATGAGTTTGGTATTTATAGATACTACTAAAAAGTCTTTCAAAATTCGTCTAATACACAATCCTTTACAACCTTTTTTTAATACCAATGAATTGTTTTTAAGTTGTAAAAAGTGCCTAATGAATTTTAATGAACTTTTTAAAAAATCTTGAAAATCCAAATTGAATACCACTGGATTATTTTTAAGTGACATAAAATCCTGATTAAGTACCGACGGACTTTCTTACTTAAAAAAAGTTTTTTAAAATCTTATAAAATCCTAAACTAATACACTCCTTTGAAAGTATTAGGCATTATTTTATGTTTTTTAACTTTGTTATATTTTTATTGTTGTTGGTTTAATAATGTTTTATGTTAATAAATGAAATATTATGTGATAATATTTAATGATTTTTTAATAAAATTAAAATATGAATATAAGAATTAAAATATATTTTTTAAAATTTAAAAATTAAAAACATATTTAAATTTATTTTAATTTTTGTATATGTTATTTATTATTTTTTAATTTTTAATTTTTATTTTTATCAAAACAAAAAAGTAAGTTTTATAAAATTATTCATAAACACCGTATAATACTAGGAAATGAAGAACATATTACATTGTATTATAACATCAATATAATTTGAAACATATCTCATAATGACAATAATAAAAAAAAATCAACAATAACAAAAATATAACAGAATTAAAAAAAATAAAATAATATCTAATATTTTAAGTAAAATATTTTTAAAATTTGTTTTATTATTATTTTAATTGGAAGTGAAAAAAAAAACAAATGAAAGAATACAATTAAAAATAATATCAAATTTAATTTTAAAAACTAAAATTAATACTATTTATTATTATTTACTGTCTCACATAATAAATATACTAAAAGGAGACATTTGATAGTAGATTTTAATCTTATTAAAGTGTGTCCCAAGGTACATTAGAAAAAGAATTATATGCTTCAAAAAAAACAGGTACATTAGAAAAAACCTTTTTTTTAAATGACACATAAGATGAATATCATAATGCTGTTCTGACTTGCATTTAATTTTTATAGAAAATGGAAGTTACTGGTAGTTTCAAAGTTAAATTTTGGATCTAGAGTGTCGGACATATTCGCGTGCAGGTTCCTTAATTTACTCAAATCTTCCATTGCTTCGTTCCTTCCTTCGTCTCTTTCCTGTCACATGTTATTTCCTTAAACGAAATAGATACTCACATTCACAAATCCCATTACCTTCGTACGTCCTTTGTCGCTTCATTACACCCTACTACGTTTTTCTAACCAAATGATTAGAGGATCGTCTCTTTCACATCCCCATTGAAAACCTTCACAAAAGTTATTCACTTTTCTCGGTTAATTTCAATGGGCTTTCTTCAATTTCTTCTACGGATCTCTCTACGGGTGAGGAGCTAGCCACTCTTGCTTCCTTTTCTGAGATCGTCACATGGATCGGAGGTTTAGATTTCTGTGTCAGCCAGAAACTACGAGATTAGTTTCACTCATTGGAATAACAGTGGCTATAGTATTAATGGTTCAGTATTCTGAACTTCCAACTACTAAATTATTATCTTCTCTTACTACCAAGATTACTACTTTCGCAATGGATGCATCTACGCTTAATTCTAAAGTGGAGGGTAACAATATGTACCTAAATGGTTCAAATTCAAACTCTACGCATGGGTTGGAAGAAACAAAAATTAGTCCTCAGGCCTCCCTTTCAGGACTTGATGGTGTTGTCAATTTTACAACCAGAGATGATGGTTCTCCAATTGCTAGTGTTCAGGGAAGATCACAACCTATGGTGCCATTGCCCAATAGAACATCCTTAGATTCAGGAACGGATCCCGGTAGTCCTTTGGCATCTAACACTTCAGATGCAACTTCAATGAAATCCAATGCCAACGATCCAGTTTACAATGATGGAAACTCAGGTTCTTTGCAAGGTAGTAGTAATTCGACATTCAATAGTGGTAAGCAAGGGACTGCAAAGAGTTCCAAAAAGAAGCCATCTATAGTAGTTTCAATATCTGAGATGAACTTGCAGTTGCAGCACAATCATGATTCTTCCCAGCTAGTGGTATGTTTTGGATTACGGGCCGTGTGTGTATGTGTAGATTGGATTATGTTGTTAGCTACCTAACTATTTTACGTCTTTTGTTTGTAGAAACCAGCAAGGTCTTCAGCTGTTGAAATGGAAATATTTCGTGCAAAATCAGAGATTTTAAATGCACCCATTATTATGAATGATTCAAGACTTTACTCACCTTTATACAGGAATGTCTCCATGTTCAGAAGGTATGACATACAATTAACATTTTCAATGCATGGATTCTACTTTTGACCCTTACTTCACTATGGTTGAATGGACAAAATTCAAATTGTATCATATTATTATTCTGATGATTTATCAACTAATTATCTCTGAAGGGTGAACTGAATGAATCTAATAGTCTGATCAGAGATCAAACAACAGCTGTATAGATCCAAAGAAAAGACTGACATTTAAAATAGGTTGACCTGCTGGCATATGGTATAAATGCATGATTTTGAACCGTATAAATCTTTTGAGTTTGATAATTAAACATTTGATGTTTGCTCACGGTAGATTTTGATTTCAATGAAAGAAGACATTGACCACCAAGCTAAGTGTTTTTCCATGTCAAGTTCAACAAATTGAATTAATTAACAGAATATATGACAGTATGTATACAAAGATATGTTATTAGGTTACATCAAGTTATTATGTGGAAAAGGCATCAAGAATCAAACTTAGATACGAAGATTCTGTTTACATATTGTTTAATTTATTTTGTGTTTCTCTGCATCCTATAAGTTGAGTATCATGTTGTGCATGTCCTAACTAAAAGAAACTCAATTAACAATGTCTGCATTATGCAGGAGTTATGAACTAATGGAGAAGATTCTCAAAGTTTTCATCTACCAGGATGGAGACAGACCAATCTTTCATGAGCCCTTGCTGGATGGAATATATGCATCTGAAGGATGGTTCATGAAATTAATGGAGGCAAACAAACAGTTTGTCACAGGAGACCCTGGGAAGGCTCACTTGTTTTACATACCTTTCAGTTCAAGATTGTTGCAGCAAACTCTCTATGTGCCTAATTCACACAAACGTTCAAACTTAATTGAGTACATGAAAAGTTACGTGAACATGATTGCTGCAAAGTATCCTTTCTGGAATAGAACTTCAGGAGCAGATCACTTTGTTGTTGCTTGCCATGATTGGGTATGTATGTTTATGCAAATTATGATTAATGCATTTTCGGCGTTTTCTTCCCCTTTCCTCAGAACTACAATTTTCTTCATACAATTTATGATAAAGAATATGGTCTGCCTAAGTTCCCTGATCCCTATTTCTTAAATTGCAATCAGTAACATAGTCTCACTCATATTCAGGGAAATTCTCCCTTAATGTGACATGTAAAGTATTTGCATTTTAGGTTGTGATGAATAGCCATTGCCGCTGTTAATATTATTAGTCATGGATTATGGTATTTCCCAAGTGGCATGCCTGCACCATTATGATTGAATCATTAATTTCTGTTGAAGCAGTATCACCAGTAATTGAGTGGAAGAGTATTTAACAAGCACCATTTCTCAGGCTCCTGCAGAAACAAGAGGGCGTATGCTTAGTTGCATCAGGGCCCTCTGCAATGCTGACATTGAAGTAGGATTCAAGATAGGCAAGGATGTTTCTCTTCCAGAAACATACATAAGGTCAAGTGAGAATCCTGTCAAAAATATAGGAGGCAATCCTCCTTCTGAGAGGCCTATCTTGGCTTTCTTCGCAGGAGGTTTGCACGGTTACGTTCGACCAGTTCTGTTGGAGCACTGGGAGAACAAAGAACCTGACATGAAAATAACTGGTTCCTTGCCACATGTCAGGGGTAATAAAAACTACATCCAGCTCATGAAGAGCAGCAAGTTCTGCATCTGTGCAAGAGGTCATGAAGTTAATAGTCCCCGTGTGGTGGAAGCTATATTCCATGAGTGCATTCCAGTTATCATATCTGACAATTTTATTCCTCCTTTGTTTGAGATTTTGAACTGGGAATCTTTTGCTGTGTTTGTAACGGAGAAAGACATCCCTAATTTGAGGAACATACTGCTGTCCATCTCTGAAGAAAGATACTTAGAGATGCATAAGAGGGTTAAAAAGGTACAAGAGCATTTTCTCTGGCATGCTGAACCTGTAAAGTATGATTTGTTTCATATGCTTCTTCATTCAATTTGGTACAATAGACTTTTCCATATAAGTCAGCCATGATCATGTATCAATTTTGTAGAAAACTCATTGTGTAGGATTGATAACTTTATGATGGGTAGATTGTATGAGTTCACAAATGAAGCAAGAAGAATATGATTAGAGAAAAAGTCCATGCATTCTACAGGGTAATATCTACCCCTAGAGAAAAGAATGCATAATAGTTTTTCGAGCATAATATTATTGTTTGGTCGTGTAGTGAAATCATGGAGATCTTTGTCTTTATTACTTTTTGAGGTATTTGGCCAAAGCATAGAGTGCTTGTAATGTGACAGTAGAACAGAAAATCACTTATTTTAGAAACGGCAAGGAATTGACACTACTCATGGGAAGCAAAAGCAAGTACAAAAGAAATTTATGGCTTTGATGATTTTAGATTTTCTGCATTTGTGTACGTAAAGAAAAGGGGAGAGTTGATGAACTGCTTATAAATGGAGAAGCAACTCAAGCACTTGATCAAGCTTATTTGTTTTGGAGTTGGCTACCTTGTTCTGATTTCCAAGGCTAATTCAGCTAAAGCAAAAATTCTTGCTTTTCAAGGCTGTCCTAGCATGATAACAAACTGATACTAATCAATTTTCATTATTCAAATATGTTAACTTAAATGTCATTCATGAAGAAAGATACATTAACATGAGAAAGGGAGAAGGAGGATAAAAGCAAGAGCGAAAGAAATGTGCATTTTTTGTCGATATAAAAACTAAGAATATGTTAAGAAAAACAGAAAAGACACGTGCATATTGATGTTCAAAATCAGGCTTTGATAAATTAAGAAGATATTAGCATTTTATAACGCAAATAATAATTATTTATTTTATATAATTAAAATGTATAATAAATAAATATCTTAAAATATTTTAATATATAAATAATTTGAAACATATAAATTATATTTATATTTGATAAATAATTTATATTATGATATAAATGATATATTTAAAGAGAAAAAGATATTAAAAATTATTGAGATAAATAAGAAAATGATATTTTTCATGATTTTTATTATAAAACACTTATAATAAAATCACACAAACTAATATAAATAGTTATTTTAGTTAATTTTATAAATAAAAAATTATGATGTACCAATTTTATCCTTATTTATCATTAAATTGTTAAAGGAGAAACGAAGATAATCGTTGTTATTAAAATTTATATATGAGTACTATTAAAATTGACAAATAACGATTGGAGAATTCAAGAGTTAATAGAACATTTATTTTTCAAGTTTTATTCTCATTATTCAACAATAAGTTAGGAGGGAAAAATGAATAATTGAATTAATATTTTATTAAAAAAATGTCAAATGCCTAATAAAAAAGATCATCATTTTTTTTCCTCAATTGTATCTTATAATAAGAACTAGAGGAGGTATATTCAAAGAGATAAGAGATAAGATATTTTTTTGAATTAAATATAAAAATGGTGCAAAGATATAATATTAAAATTTTGAAGATAAAATATATATTTCATTTTGGGATTAAGATCCTCTAAAGTGAGCTTATCACTTTAGAGAATAAAGAGAGTTTATATTCACCATTTAATTATTCAATAGTTGAAATTAATTTATATTTGAATTTTTCAAATTTTAAAATATAAAATTTTTTAACAAAATATTTTCATTCAAAAGTAAATAAGGTGTGAACTTACCTTCTTTTAATAATTTTGATTCTCCAAAATATCTCCGATTAAAAGTAAATAATGAGCAAATTACAATCATTGTTACCTCCATTAATATCATTATTATTATTACTATCATCATCATTATTATCATCTCATTGTCATCACCATTATCACTATCATTATCAAACATAGTAATAACAACAATGGTGATGTAGCCATGACAGCGATGACGATGATGAGACAGACAACAATAATGATGATGATAAGGCGAAGACAACAATAATGATAATAATTGTGATAATAATAATGATAGTGGTGATAATTGTAACAATAGTCATAGTCATATTAAGCTTATCACTTTAGAAAATAAAGTATCTTTCCCTTAATAATTGAATGGTTCAAACTAATCCACAATTAATATTTCCAAAGTTTAAAATATAAAAAAATTTTAACAAAATATTTCTTACACGTACATAATAACTGAATATACATTTTAAAGAACTTTCAATTGCAAATCTTGTATGTATTTTAAGATAAATTCATAGTGAATAATTAAATAACAAATTATAAGCAAATCTTGTGCATAAATTTTTATTTATTTAATTTAAATTTTATTCTTTAAATTAAATAAAAATATGTATACAAGATTTGCATATAATTTTTTATTATTTAGTTATTCATTATGATTTTTTATCATATAATATATATTATATAGTTCTTTTTTTAGTAGTTAAAAAAATCTAGTTTTTAATTTTAAATGCAATATAGTTTTTAAATTTGTATATTCCACAAGATAATTTATTATATAATTAAAGAGGATCAATTGATTTTGGTAAACAAAAATCTACTTATAATTTTTTATATAATTATCAGTTAGAAATTTAATCATTAAAATAAATAAAATTTTATTTTAAATATTAATTTATCATATTATAAAATAAATTGAGTGAATAAAATCCATCTAATTCTATTGAAAACTATATAGAAAAAAATTCTTAAAAAAAAATAAGTTTGCACATTATTTATTTCGGAACAAGAATATTTTGCAAAGGGATTTTTTTTTCCGGAAAGTACGAATATCACGATTCATTTGATATATGTGAATTTTTTTTACTTCTAGACTCAATTTTCTGCCATGAATGAAACGCGCGCCTTAAGTTACAATAGTATTTTTGCCTGAAAGAAACTATAAAGCAGCGTAAACGCGTATGTTTATTGAACAGTGAACACGTTACACCTGTTGTAAGCACCGTACGTGAAAATCAGTGAAAACAACGTTTGAGGAAGCAAAGCAACAAGAGTGGTCCCCACCTTTTGTTTTCTGAAAATCTTTCATGTTCTTCCTAGATCCAATTCCAACCCCGTTTTGAATCAACCTCTCTTTATTTTTCTCCTACTTCTCATCTAATCTCACCTCACCTCTTTCTGTTTCTGCTTTTACTTTTGAAGTTACCATCTTTTTCTCTTTGGGCATCTTCATAAAGAAATTCACTGAGAAAGCCAAAGCCAAAGGTGATGGAATGAATAAGTACACTTGAAACATGAACAGACAATGAATTGGGTCAATCGGATCTAATCTGTAGAGTATAGTGAGTAGTTGGCAAAGGCGTGTTATGGCTACAGATACCAAAAGCACTATGATTAGGGTCAAGTCAAGTGCTCTAGATGTCTCTTCCAAGCCCAAGATTGATTCTTTATCCCTCAAGAAGAAGGTCAACATCAGCACAGGCAGACTCCCACCTGATTCTAAGATGAAATCTGTCACCACTGTCACAAAATCTGAGGTATAATTCTCAACAAATTGAAGAAAAAAAAAAACCCTTTTGAATTATTGGATTGAATTCTTATATGGGTGGTATGAATTTTGGATTTGTGGCGTTCTGAATTCATTAGCTGGTCTTCGTTGACTGTTGGATATTGCATTGACTGTTAATTTCACATATTGCTGTTCTTGCTGATTAGGGTTCAGAATACAGGATGTTCCAATAATAAAATACGTGGTGATTTATTAGGAGAGCTTGCATTTGATTTATGTTACATAAGCATTCACTTGAAATTTTTGTTTTGCATAAACTTGAAGACTAAATCAAAATTGGTAGGAACATCATCGGCATCAAACAAAACAGTAAAAAAGACAACTACTACCAAAGTGAGAGAGAAGAAAGTTTATAGTTTGCCTGGCCAGAAACACGATCCTCCAGAACAGGTTTTGAATCTATCTTATTTAGTTCCTGGAAATCACTAACCAATGTTCACATATGGCAATTGGCTCACACTCATCCTTGAGATTTTATTTATACTTTCTGTTGACAGAAAGAACCCCTGAGGATTTTCTACGAGTCATTGTCAAAACAGATACCAACAAGTGAAATGGCAGAATTTTGGTGAGTTTTCTTTCAATCATACAATTATTAACCATCTATTTTCACTTCTTTAATTAGATGTTTGTTCTGTTTCTTTTAATATACGTGCCTATGCCAACTTACATCCAAATAGCCGTTTGATAGGTTCTGTTTCATACCATTAATATCAAGTTGCCTTATTTGTTTTAACAAAAATGTGTAATGTCTATTCATAAACGACTTTGTTTAGTAAAACACTAGGGTCTACATTTATATCACTAGCTCATTCCCTCCCCATTCATTCATGTCTAACATTGTCGAATTGTGCACGACTATAAAGTATGCTAGCGCATTTGCCCCTGCTTTGTTCCTCTTCATTTCAGAAAGATCCACATGTGTTGTATAAGAACAACTACAACTATAAGTATCAGTTTTATCTGACAAACCTGTTTCCTTAGATTGAAAGATTTCTATTACAGATGTAATTAATATAAAATCATTCATGTCTTGATGGGGAAGCAACTTAATTAAACTTGTTTATTCCCCATTCATTCATCAAATAAGAGTTTATTCATTAGTTTAACTGCTGATATGAGCTAGAAAGAGTTTATTAAAAGATCATAACTCCCTCCCCCAATAACAAATAAGCATTTCCAAACTCCTAATAAGAGTTTAAGCTTTTGGGATTATTAGTTCATGATATAGTATTATGGCCTTTATGACTAAGTGATCTAAAGTTTGATCATTCTTCTAATAGAAAGTTAAATTCCAGCACAAGGTAGTTGGACTAGTGCATTACGCTTCAAGCATGAAGGAGGGCTTTTGCATGATGGAATTTGTTGGACATGTAAAATTAAATTATTCATAAATCTTTACCTAATAACTTGAGCTTCTAGGATTGTTAGTTCATGATAATTCTAAATTTTTTTTGTCGGTCGATTCCTTCGTGAATAGGCATCGAAATACCCCAGGGAACTGGGTGTGTTGCCCATATATAATATTTGACCATGCAATCAAAGTAATTGTTATTGTACACTTGAACTGATGATGTTTTGCCTTCAGTTGGAGTGTTCTGAATTTTGTGTGGATTAAATATTGCTCAGAAATTACAATTTAAGGCATATATTCCTGAATATGCAGGTTAATGGAACATGGGTTGTTATCTCTTGAAAGAGCTAAGAAAGCATTTGAGAAAAAGCAGAGGAAGCAAAAGGAGCTTCGAACTGGAACTCCTGTTAAGTTATCAAAGCCACCAACTAAGCCTCAAACTTCACAGAAACAACAACAGCCATCAAAGAATGGCGACATAAAAGCCAAGAAGAGAATTCTCAATAAAAGTGATAGCGATGATGATGACGATTTTGTTTTAAGTCATAAAAGAAGAAAATGGTAAGAAGAAAAGCCTCATAATGTTTTATTTTAAAATTAAAATAGAAGATGAAGAAATGTTGTAAGACAACCTAATAATGGATAGATTAAAAACATTATTCTTCATGTTTCTGACTTACAATAAGAGACATGCAATTTATGTCTCTCTCGGGATCTAAATTATGACAATGGAAACTACTCTTTGTAACTTCATTGTGTGACTATCTCTTCTTTTTTCTCGCATTTAAATATATAACATTACTATTCTTCAATTTGAATTTGATATCTTTGGTGGTCTTTAATTTCCTTTTCCCATGAACCATTACATTAACAGTTGAGAAAGTTTCATTTATGTTGTTTCATTTAACGGTTTTCTAGTTTAACATAAATAGTTCGATTTAAAGAGTTGATTTACTTTAATCAAACTGAAGAATAAATAAAGTAATTCAAGTAACATGTATTTATATAAATAAACATTAATAAATAATGTGATAATAAATTCATGAATAAATATCAATTTGTGTCTATTAATAACAGCACAACTTAAAATAAAAATAAAAGTTATTTTTTATATTTGAGAAATGATCAATCCTCTCTTTTCAACATCCTTTTTTTTTTTTTTCATGTCACAGTATTCTTGCTTTATTAGATTAAAGACTAATCTTGTTCACAATAATGTAATTATTATTAATCTAAAGGATTTTTGTATATAGTGAGAATTGAATACGAAACTTCTCTAACACTATCTTCTAACATGTATATTATTGGTTAAAATTTATTAAAAGTTACATATTATAGTAATTTTATGTTTTATTTAGAGAGTGTTTTTTAATTTAGTGATAAAATTTATCAAAATTTGTAACTTTTAATAAAATTCATAAAAAAAAAGTGTCATTAATAATTTATGGTAAATTTTTATAAAATATATTTGATTTAATTGGTGTGACTCTTTGTTGAAAGACAGAATCCATCTATAAATAGACATTTTCCATAGATAAGCACATTTTATTCACAATCAATTTCTATTTCATTCTTCCGAGATAAAAATAAAATTATCATTTCATGAACACGATCATTGTCACAATTTGAGTTTTGTAGATGCAAGTCATACTCAAATGTTTTCCTTGTATTCTAAAGGAGATCTGTCACCAACCTAAGAAGTTGCACCCAAGTTTTGGGCAAGTTAAGCCCTAAAAGAAACACATTGTGTACACGTTTCTTCTCATTTCTTTACCCACCAACCCAACTTTGATGTGAATATAGCTTAAAAATCATCCACATCCGAGGTGAAGGTTTCTGTACCGTTCATACAAAAAGTTAGCTTGGCATACTAAACATCGTGATGGCAAATAAATTCATATTATAAATTTAAGTTTTCATTCTTGAACAAAACGTCATATTTCATTTTACTTTAAAATAAATTGTAACAGCTGATTTTATCAGTATTTAACACTTTTTAATTGTTATTAAATTTTTTTTAAAAAAAGTCCATATATACATAATTATTTATTAGAACTTTATAGTCATGTGCTTAAATAACCACAGACAAAAGTTCGATACTTCTACCCCTAACCTTGCCTCCATCATAAAGATATGTTATGGTTTTGTCAAATGGTTACGTGGAAATTAAATACTCATACCTAATTACAAGAGGACATTTAATTTTAAGTAGTTAGGTCTTTCTTAATACTATAGCCATCAGGGAATCATCATAATTCATAACGATGATGGTGATGCAACTTCAGCAGCCTCATCTCTGCTATCGCGGAACAAGGTGACCATAGTGACTATGACAAGCCCGTAACACTAAATCATTTAATCCTTTGACATGATAGTAAGCCCATAAACAAGTTCGTTCACGTGTAGAAATGTTGATGTGGCTTTTCATAGTCCTCTCATCGCTTAATAAAACTCATAGCACACTAGGGATTAAGTGTGTTTCTTTTTTTTCTTTCTATAATCAATGTATCTTCGTCGAGTAGGATCACATATGCTTCACAAGATTATCAGTTAAATTAAAACAACTACATGTCAATATTTCGATGAAGTTTTAAGTTTCAACTTATCTATTATTTGTTCACTCAAATTCGGTTCTTTATGTCCTAATTATTTGTTTTTTTATCTTTTCACAGCTAATTACAAATATATCAATTACTTAACCCACAACTATGACAAGTAATATATGTATTTATGAACAAAAACTCAGCGACACAAATAAATAGAGTGATTAACCAAATTTCATCAAGACAAGCAGAAAACATGAAATAGTACATTCTATAAGAACAATTACAATAATGTTAATTTTTTTTCTTGTTAATTGATCCGATCTATCTAAATTATTCTTGAGAATATTATAAGAAAGATCAATAATGGCTTGAAATCAAGTTGAAGAAAGTTTTCATAAAATCGATATATTTTAGACAGAAAGAAAATTTTTCTAATTTGGGATAAAAATAAGGATAAATAGAATGATGTAAAAATGAATAAAATGCATGTAAAGGTTTTAAATAACGTGTTAATTTTTTATTGGTGAGACACTAATTGAGACACAATGATGAAACAGGTGATTTAAATCCAAAAATATACCTTAGATAATCAAAACTAGTCCAAGCCTTCCATTATTTCATTTCATAACAAATTCTCCCAGTAGCAGAACACATGATTTAAATACAGGGCAGCATACCAACGCATGAAAGGAAATAGGAGTATACACACACATTGCAGTGACTTCTTAATTTATATTTGTGACATAACACCGACGTACGTATTCCCCTGGATTGAACTGCATTGAGTTTTGCAACACTTAAAACAGAAGATCTACCAATATGCATGAGATGATCGATGCATTTTCTTTCTTGACTGGTAGATAATTGTCAATATCTTTGACTTCAGGGAAGAAACTCGTTAATTATAAACTACACAAATTCAGCTGGTACAATGAAAAATACGTTACATAATGAAAAGGAGCCTTCGTACGAAATGTTTATAAGTCCAAACAGGCAAGTCTCATTAAATAGACATTTTTTTTTATCTAGAATAAATATAAAGCTTCTTATACATCACAGAAAAACTCTTTCCAAGCCTTGATCTTGGATGGAACCCAAGTTTGATGTCATTTTCAAGCCCAAAATTCTTTGTTTGGACTTGTTTTGGTCCTGTTTTAGCATTTTGTATGTAATTGCGATTCAATATATTTATTTTCAGTTTAGATAAGATTCTCATTTAGGATTGGCTACCACCACTCCGTATATCACATGTTCATTTTCAATTCAGCAGCTTCTGAATGGAATATATATATATATATATATATATATATCACCACCATCAAAATTTATGGTTTTGAGTGTTAACTATAATACTAACTCGTGTGTTAACCATGGTTTATGTTTTGAAGATTCACTCTCATATCAAGGGCTCTAAATGGAGATGGGATGGAGATTGATACAAAATTATAGTCCAATAAGAGTCCTCAATCTCGAAACTTTGTTAATTACCTCCCTTAAGTCAGATCAGAGACTGAACATCGAGGTTCAGTATAAAGATGTGAATCAATGAAATTGAAATTGGTATAGTGAAGTCAAAAGTCAAAACAATAATGTGTCCTGTTGTTGCTCAGCTCTCAATACAACCACAGGAATCCTGGAACAGATATAAGTCCAATGCATTCAACAACTCAGATCTTATCTGGGGTGGCCTTGTCGCGTTGATGTGGCCCAGATGTCTCATTGTTAAGGTTCTTTAATCGTTTTTGTTAATTGAAGAAAAGAAGAAGAATAGAAACGTGTGGCACTGCACTGGCAGCGGTTCCGTTCCAATACTTTTCCTTTGTACTTGTATACTGTGCACAAGAATGCTTATGCTTCACCAGAACTCTGTAGAATGAAAAAAATGAAATAAAAATCATGTTATGGGTCCAAAACAGGTACATATCAAAAGGGCAACAGCTCATTTTGGAGGTACAATATCATCGTTGTGGTACTCATACTTGGGGAAATATGGAAACGCACGTATAAAAATAAAACAACAACCCCAAGGACAAAATAATTTTCGTCGTTATTGACGTGAGGCATGAAATGTACAGCCCCTAGGAGTGGCAGAAGCTATAAAGTTAAGTTATCATCTTTGGCATAGACTTTATGGCTATTTCACTGGATCAATAATACAATTATGGCGCTGTAAATTACAAGGATTTGTAACGTGTCAAGTCTTAATAATAGGAAAAGGGGCCCTTTAATATGTTTGACACGCACAGGCACAGGCACAGCAATCCAATGTCACTTTGAAGTGTGGGGTTAGTCCATTTATTAGAGTTAAATCACTGTTGAAAAACTACACGTGTCAACGTGGAAACACCTATAGCGCACCATGAGTGCCTTACGCGCTTGGGACGCATCTCACACGGAACAAAATAGTCTCCTAATAGGAGGACTACAGAATTGAGATTTTTATTTTTAATCTTTTGAAAGCATGGCATTGGGGCAATGAATAAAATAAAAAAGTACGATAAGATTAGCGTCTCCGGTGTCTGAAGTGTGAATGATAATGAGATGGAGACAATTAGAGAGCATGAATTGGACAATATTGCCGAGGAATGGTGGGAGGCCCCATCGATTTAAGAGGGATCTAAACGCATAGTAATAAACCGAAAAGTAGTAGGAACAAGCAGAGAAATTATTGCACCTTCTTCTACGAGTGGTAAAAGAGGAGAAATATTCAAAGAAGGGTCCAAAAACCTAAATCATTGCTGGCCCTGACTATCTAGTTTTAAAAGCACTCACATGCATTGGTTGGCTACATGATCTGTACAATCGCTTACCATTTTCCAAACCCCAGTTACTGAATTCCATGTATATACTAATTAATACACCCTTCTCCAACAAATTACGTATTTCCAATCCACGAATCATTCGATGGTTAGTAATTAGGAACAACCAAGCAGGAAGTAATGAGTTGCAACATGTTGATATAAATGCCACAATTGGCTTCCACCATGAGCCTTGGCCCCCAAGAATTGAGAGCCTCAAATCAAACACTTGGAAGTATTACGAAAAAAGTTGTTTTGACATCTCCCTGGGCCGGGGACACCCTACGGTTTTTAACTTTTGACATGATTTGGAGAGAGGGAGGGAGAAACATGAAACGTGTATTTTAAATGCGTGACATAAACATAATATAAAAAAACGTACGGTATTGAGTATTGACATTGAAAACAAGTTGTTGAAATAATAAAACTAAATATCCGTAGGATATAGCAAGATGGTAAAAAGAGAGAAACAGAGTTTCACCCACCCGAAAAGAAAGTGAAAAAGCACAAGAGAAAGCAGTGTTATCTGAAGAGTTGAATAGAATGTTTTGATGTTATGGAGGTGGGATCTGATATGATGAAGAGTGGAAAATTGGAGTGAGGTTAAAACTTAAAAAGTATAGTGTAGAGTATATAGACGTTGGCATGGTATGCGAGGTGTCTTATTTTTCTAAAGTGGGTCCATGTCCATTGTCCATCGAGTGGATGGATGTGTGAAGCGAAGCTTTATAAGAGGGAATGAGAGAAGTGAGTTGTTAAAAGGCAAATAAGAGAATGGGGGTTTCAGCGGAGAAGGCAGAGACAGAGAAGTCAAAGGGAGGAGAGGCAGAGAGCAAGAAGATAAAACGCATTCGTGATCGTGACTCCAGCAGGCACCCGGAGTACCGGGGCGTGCGGATGCGGAACTGGGGAAAATGGGTGTCCGAAATCCGCGAGCCTCGCAAGAAGTCGCGGATATGGCTCCCCACCCTCCCC